AACCCGTACAAACCCAGTGACGCTCGCTTACGCACAAACACCTCCTGGGTCAGCGAAGGTGCATACGAGTTCCTGCAGATTAGTTTCCAACCTTACTCCAAGCTCGTCACAGGCGTGGCAACTCAGGGAAATCCTCATCATTATTGGTTTGTTATTCGTTATAATCTTTTGTATAGCTCAGATGGTGTCACGTGGTCATACTACGAGCATGAAGGCCAACCTGGATCTAGAAAGGTGAAAGTCAGTATTATTTCTCGAAATGTATATATGGTAACCGATCACAGAATTTGAAGCGATGGTGTTCAATACCAACGAAAATCTATCTTTGCGCGTTTATTGAGCAAAATTTTTCTTCTGGGAGAGAAACTTCGAGCAGGCCTACCTTTGATCGCGAGCCTCATGTTTGAGTCTCGTGCGAAAGCGCCAAGAAAGTGACTTTTCTCGCGGCTATCCTCGTGCGTGTGCTCCCCAAACGTGAAACTNTCCACTGGGCCTTGGTAATCGACAACTGCCTGATGAAAATTTCAACGCCTCCTCAAGTGTGAACCCGTACAAACCCAGTGACGCTCGCTTACGCACAAACACCTCCTGGGTCAGCGAAGGTGCATACGAGTTCCTGCAGATTAGTTTCCAACCTTACTCCAAGCTCGTCACAGGCGTGGCAACTCAGGGAAATCCTCATCATTATTGGTTTGTTACTCGTTATAATCTTTTGCATAGCTTAGATGGTGTCACGTGGTCATACTACGAGCATGAAGGCCAACCTGGATCTAGAAAGGTGAAAGTCAGTGTTATTTCTCGAAATGTATATATGGTAACCGATGGTGTTCAATACCAAAGAAAATCTATCTTTGCGCGTCTATTGAGCAAAATTTTTCTTCTGCGAGAGAAACTTCGAGCAGGCCTACCTTTGATCGCGAGCCTCATGTTTGAGTCTGGTGCGAAAGCGCCAAGAAAGTGACTTTTCTCGCGGCTATCCTCGTGCGTGTGCTCTCCAAACGTGAAACTCGGCAATACTGATGACGTCACTCTACAGAGCTCCGTGTAGTTGTCTCTGATTGGTTGTTGCTTGTGCCACTGTAAGAACCAATCACGAACAGCCTTAAGAGCTACGTCATCAGTATGGAATTTAAGGCATGGGAGATTTGGCGCGTGATCAAAAACGCCTGTTTAAACACGATCGTAGATTGTATGACAAGTCCTAATAGTTGCGTTACCGTTGCGATTTATTAGGTATTTGCAGCTAACCAAGATAGCAATACTACCATAACAATTCAGCTCCAGCCTCCTATCAGAGCAATGTACCTCCGTATCGCACCATTGGCTTGGCAAGAAAAAATCGCCTTACGGGTGGAAATTTACGGCTGTAATGATCACAGCTAAGGAAATAACCGCAAGACGGCCATACGAGTCTTAACGAAAACTAAAGAAACAACAGAAGTATAAAAACTCTTCTGTGATGAATTCGCGAAAAAATGAAAGCCATTAATCAACAGCGGAAGAATTACTTCGTTTTATCTTTATCAGATAAGAGGTCAATACTGCCAAATGATGATTTAGAAGATTAGGAACATGGTTTCTTGCTAATGATTGGCTAAATCGTAAGTTTGTTGTTTGCTGAAACAAGTGTGAGTTTTCTCTTGAAGCTAACAAGTAGTAGACCCCTCAAGAGGCCAAAAGATAAAAATACGAAATAACGTAAGAGTACTGCTCCGGGATATCCAAACCTGCACTAAAACGGCCAGGAAACACAGTGACGGAAGCTGATTCACGACAGGAAGAGGGGGAGGGGGATTTTGTACAGTAGACGGCTATAAGAATTCACTCGAGGGTAGAAAAGCGATTTGGTTGATTCCCGCGAAGGCGCCCGAAGAGCTCCCCGAGTTGCCGAGAGCATACCGAAGAATCTGACGTCGACGCATCGTCATAAAGTTACGCCATCTGTGCTAGTTACATTCAGCTCTTACGAAATCCAAGAGGGATCAGACACTTATTACAGACCGAGAGGGGAAAAGATTAACACCATTGCTTTCCCCGACTGAACTAATAAATTTAATTTTTAACCCATCACGGAAAGTTTCCACTCTTTATTACAAAAGCGATTATTAACCACCACCACAACAATAAGCTCCACTGGTTTCTTTTAGAAATTACGTTAGTATTTACATCATGTGTATTTACAAGAATATTGTAAGCTGAGCGACAAATAAAAGTATTGAGAACGAGCACTGAATTTGTTATCAATAAATAAGTGAGCTATGGGCTAACGACGCTCTGTGCTTCGGCGACTTGCTGCGCTGCCTGCTCGGGAAGAGGCCTTGGAACCAGCTGCGGAACCAGGCCGGGAACTCGTCTTCTTTCCCCGCGCACTACCGGTAGGCGAGACACCTGGAAACGAGCAGGAAATCATTAGAATGGTATCTAACATTTGGGGTAATTTGCACAAACGTACTTTGCCCAAATTAATTTAGGCGGGTGCAACTGCTTTAGTAGGTCATTCCCTCTATGTCAGAGCCCGGAATGGATTATGAAATGTTGTTTCAAATCGTCTCTTTTTTAGACCAGTACCTAATACTGCTAGTCTAGCCAGTGTACATCCAGCCCCTCATCAATTTTTTTTAGGGGAAGGGGGCGGAGGTAGACAGGCTACTGCTAGTCGGGCTCCAAGCTGGATGTCTTGGCCCCGAGTCCAGCATTAACTCACCGTAATTTGTATTACACATTTACAAGGTTCAGTTTATGTTTCATTGTTCATATACACACCTGCTTTGGGACTTCCCGCCCCAGAAGGACTAGCGGCTCCAGACAAAGCAAGAGCACCAACGTCCACCGTACCAACACCTCGGCGACTTCCGGTGGAGATATCAGATCTGTGAGATGATCAAAAGTAATCAAACAATCTGTTCTTACTTCACGTTTCCTTTTCGAAACATTCACTCATGAAGCGACTAGAAGTATTTCTACTCCCCCACCCCCTTGGATGGGATGCTATTCCATCGCAGGGTTACCCCCAGCATTAAGTTCGCCAGTACCCATTTATACACCTGGGTGGAGAGAGGCACTGTGAGAGTAAAGTGTCTTGCCCAAGAACACAACACAATGTCCCCAGCTAGGGCTTGAACCCGGACCGCTCGATCTGGAGTCGAGCGCACTAACCATGAGGCCACTGCGCCTCCGTATTTTTTCTTAACGTAATCCTACATGTCAGGCCTGTTTTTGTATCGTTACAGTCGAACGATTTCTAAAACCAGCGTGCCATTCCGTGACCATAAGACTAGAAATTTTCAACTTACCTAGCGGAAGACACTGTTCCAGAACTCCTGGAGCTACGAGACGATGTTGGTCGTGACGCACCAGGGCCTGGGGAGGGTGGCATTGGTAGCCCGGCCTGGCTGAAGTAGATCTGAACACTGGGGCCAAGATCCGGGTGACTGTGTAACACTTCTCCCATCTGCTTCATTGTACGTGTGTTAAACTCTCGTAGCTCTCTTAAATCCATGTCTCTCTCTTCGTGGAGTTCTCCCGAACTTTTCTTGGCGCTTCTGACTGTGCGCGCTATTTTACTGGCCTCGCGGGCAGCTCTGTCTTTCTTTACCTTCTGATCGTCCAGTTCTTTCTGTAAATTTGTCGCTTTTGCTTGTTTATCTGTGATCACTTCCACTAAGGCTTGTTCGTCAGCTGTCAAGTTGTCCAGTGTGTTCTGCATGGAGCCCAGATCCTCCTGTAGCTCGCGGATTTGTCGCCGTTTGTATTTGTATTTGTCCATGACAGCGCGCATTTGATCCTCCAAGCGCTGCTTCTCGTCAAACTCTTCACTCATCTCATCCACCTTATTAAAGCTTTTCCTGTATGTCTCGTTACGACCGTTCATTAACCGAAGAGTGTTCTCCAACGCCCTAAAAATAATTAAGGAGGATCTCAGTATCAAGATATGAAAGTGAATTTCCATTCCTAATTGCCATGCACTTCTCTGACTAATGGTGTTTCATCAAAGGCAGTATTTGCTAGTTGATGAAATTCTTAATTCTCATCGCGTGTCTGCACGACAATGAACTGAATTCGTGAGGGAGAAATCAGATGTTTAGTTGACCTACACAAAATTCTCACCGGATCTCCTTCTCAGCCTTCCTGATCTTCGCGTCCAGTTCATCTCCTTCTCGCTGAAGTTCTTCCTTCTCTTGAGCTGCCTTGATGACGTAATAAGCTTGAGACCTCTCCTCCTCCCCCTCAGGAGGTGCCATGGATATCATCAGGATTTCATACCTGGTGTAATCAAACATGAATTATGTTACTGGCAAAAAAGATCACCGCTGTGTAACTCACATAACACTTTCTGTCGCAGGTGTAAACCAAAAAAAACATCAATCAATGTACCTTTTCCGTAATTTGTCTATCTTGGATATCCGTTCATGTAGTTCAGAGCTGCAGGACAAAAAACAAAAACAGAAACAATTTTTAGTTATCAGTAATGATTTCGAAAAAAATATAGACAAGCGTATAAGTTTTGAGAAAGTTGAAACTTCAATCAGCACATACAATAAATTATTAACAATGGAAAGATGAACATAACTGGTTTGAGTGGCCGTATAAACGGGGTCAAAAAAACAAGGGATTACACAGGTTGGGATTTCAGGATGTGGCCATTGGCGGTATTAACAGGGTGGCCGCATTAACGAAGTTTTCTTATAAGAAAATGTATGACCGTTTCACGGGGACAAAAAAGAGTGGCCGTAGTAACGAGGTGACCGTACGGCAGGGTCCCACGGTATATGATAAAGACCGACGTTTTGGTGTCATCATGACGCCATTGACAACAACGATTGTTATCGTTCATTATTGCTTTCCTACAGAAACAATTAAAACAGGAAAGAAGATGAAATGGCAACAGTCAAGCAAGAGTAGCAAATTGTGACGATGGTCTGATAAGTCACACAAAGCTTCTTTCTAAACGTTGCGTGACGAGCCAAACCGTCTGCGCAAGAGAGGCGAATCAGATGGTAGAGCGGCTGGGTTACTATACCTCACAGTCTGCCTTTCCTCTTCAGAAGATTTGATTTGTGCTTTCAACATGTCTTTGTGGATATCGATTTCATGACGGCGTTGCTTCATCGCCTGAAAAACGCAGAAAGACAAGTATTATGGGCTTCTCTTCTCAACTAGTATGATCTTTGAACAGACTTAAAAGTATGAAGACCCATAAGTACTGCTTAAATTAGNGTTGTAATGACGCATTGTTCATTGTGTAATCTGTGAATACATGCACCTCTTATTTCTAAGGGTTGCTGAGTGAGTAGGACACATTTTCCCCCTTTTAAATCATCCATAGCCACGCAGTTAACACTCATAATCTTTACCTTAATTCTGGCCTCTAGCTGCAGCTTCTCTTCATTGCTCCTCTCTCCCTGCATGCGGCTTATTCTTCGCTCCAGTTGCTGCAGCTGGAAATCCTATTAAACACGACCAACCGAAACAAATTCACAAAATAATTCCAAACTACTAAAAATGTACCTACATCTGAAAGTACGAGCTTGTTCCAACTGTGTCTTCTAATGGAAAGTCATAGAAAGGACATCGAACTTAGAAAATCAATGAGACCGATTCATCACCAGTAACACGGCAGGAAAAAATTTTTGCCCAGTGGGTCAGTACATTTAAGTTTTCAGTTGCCCCCACTAAAATAGCACTTGCTCAACTACATCATTTACTAGGTACTGTCTGTAATCAGTGATAGACTATAACAACACTACCAAGGCTAATTTCACTTGTCCACTGGGCTACCAAACTTCCATTTTCACTTGCCCAAGAGCAAAATTTACTTGCCCTGGGCAATCGGACCTGGGTTTTTTCCTGCCCTGAGCAATGGATGCAAGATTCTAAGAAATGCCCTGGGGAAGTTGACTGATGTGCATGGGTCAAGAACAGTCTATCCTCGTAACAAAACTTACCTGCATGTAGATAATTTCCTGTTGTTTGAGTGATTCCTGGTCAAGTTTGTGTAGTTTGCTACTCAGATTCCTGCTGGCAGCACGAGCCCCCTGATCACAAAAAAGAAAAAACAACTTTTAACAAGTGCAATGTCACAACGTAGACATAAAATAGCATATCGAGGAAAAGCTTTTTACCTGAATTTCTGCTGCAGTGTTGCTTTCCAAAACTTTACACTGGTGTAGTTCTTCTGTTTTTCTGAACTAAAATGAGGAAAATAAAATAAGATCTCAATTAGAAACTAAATTATCATTTGAATTTCCTAACATGTCCAATGACAAACAGAAGGGCAAAATTGTTCATAATAAACTAAGGTGATCAACGCAATTTAGAAGGTTATACTGTTCACTGACAGAGATGAGGCCTTATGTGACACACCTTGTCACCTAAAAGAGATACAGTACTACTCAAAAGTGATCACCTCTTGTCTCCTTTCTCTCGAGACAAGGATCCTGTCTAGACTTGATTTCCGCCACTCTCTCATGTCCTGTCTATGTTACTCCACCAAATGGCTTTGGTGGAGTTTTCTTGAACAGTGGCTGGTAATTGAGCCTACATGTAGATCTCATCTTGCAATATGAGAGTCTCATCTCGCAAGAACCAGTTAATAAATTTCAAGTAGTTAGCTTGCAAGAAAAGGAATAATTTCTTGCAACACGCTTCTTGAAGTTCTTTGTAGTGTAGCTTCAAGAGTTCTCAAATTGAACAAGTAACTTTTGTGATGACTACAAGAATAACCAAAGAGCAGTGCAAACCTGGACAGAGCAAGACAGTGTAAATTTTAAGTTACAAAATGTTGTTAGAGCAGGTTTAATTCAACCATCTTAAAAGAAATAGCTGACCTTAAGCTATTGTATGTTCCTTTTATTTGACCCTGAAGCTTCAAAATAACCATAATAGAAATTCTTGAAGCTCAGCAGTGAACTTTACCTGCGTTTCACGTAATCTAGCCAACTGTTTTTCTACATCATAAATTCTTGCTTCTTCTTCCTTTAACAGCATGTCCATTCGCTGCGCTTTCTCTTCAGCAGTGAGAGTCTCGTCAGTCACAATTTTCAGCTGCTCTCGTAGATCATCTCGCTCCCTTTGGACTCTGTCAAGCCTTACAAATAAAAACGAAAACTTTTTACCTATAAGAGTGACCTTAATTTTATTATATATCCTCAAAGGTAAAATTGCTCCAAAAAGTCTTACACAGTGCACTTAATTTTTAAAGATGAGGTTTCCATGACAGCATTTCATAATATCAGTGGAAGATCCAGAAAATTCAGATAGAGGGGGCTGAAGAAATTGCAGTAGAATGCATGCCACCCCCTCCCTAAACTGAATCAAAAAACGTGCTCTAAAAATGGCTGACCATTTTTTTTGGAATACAAGAAAAAAGGGGGAGGGGGGAGGGACCCTCAGCCCCCCTAAATTCACTCCCGAATATGTCTTTTCCACACCCTATTTTTATATCAGCAATATTTACTTGATAACCATGACTTAGATTCCTTATATATGATCTAGATGATCTAGACATGTATTAAAGAAGTCATTGTGGAAATCATGTGCTTATGGATTTAGAATTAGAGTGTTACTGGAAGATGTTTTTATACTGTTGTTATTCAACATATATTTTGGGCTAACAGAGCAACTCAAAGGTAGTTTGGTCGTAATATTTCCATCACAGCATAACACCAAAAAATTTTTAAGTGGTTTTCATGAGGGTACCCTCTTTTTTAACACGCTACAAAAACCACAGGGCCGTGAGTTCCAGTGTTCTTTGGAGTGAGGCCTTTAAAACTACTGTATTTAGTCAAGCCGATGTTCCAAGTGTTCATTGAAAGAACACTAGATTATCCAATATGGTACAAAAGGACAACACTCAACGCTTAATATATGAATGGTGTTATTCCATACTTTTCTGTTCTGTTGGTAACTTCCTTCTTGAGTAAGTTGTGTTTTTGTCTGGCACTATCAAGATCTTTTGCTGTTCTATCCACAGTATATTTCAGAGTGTCAAGCTGGCAAAAAAGAGTTATCAATTAACACATTACCATTAAATACTCTTTGAAATTTATCAAACAATCTGAAAACAGTTTGCGATACCAATCAAGAAAAAATATTTTTTTTCACAGTGAAAGATGCAATGAATTCTTTATGGCCCTTTACTGCTGAGGATTAAGGCATGATTACACAGCTTTGTAGAATCAATAACGTAAACAGAGTCCCAAACTTCAAAACCAAGCAAATTAAAGTTAAATTATAATAAAAAATGATTAGAAAGCCACCTGCCAACATTTCACCTTCTGTTCTACCATGAACAAGCTCTATGCACACAGACTAGTGTTCATTATATTTACCTCATCTTGGAATTGGATACGGATCTGTTCAGCATCCTGGTACTCCAGTCTCATTTTAGCAGCCTGTCTTTCAGCAACCCCAACTTTCTTCTCCTTTTCTTGATTGTTTGCAAGCTCACTCTCCAGAAATTTCTAAATGTTTTACGAAGCAAAACACAAAAAATAATGTAACTTTTGTGTACGAACAATGTAAGAGGTATGTTAAAGGAAAAAGTAAAATGCTACAATCGGAAGAGTGAGTCTGAGATCGAAAGCAACCAAAGGGATTTTCAGGTCACCAATTGTAAAAATAATAATTAATAATAATAACAACAAATATTTAAAGAGCATGACCCATCAGTGTATTTAACACTGTTATCAGAGGGGTCCTATAAAAGAAACTATAGTAAAAATGAGGAAAAAATGGGTAAAAAAGACATACAAAATAAGGAAAAACATTACCCTTGAAGTTATGGATCTAAATTCGATTGGTAGTTCATTGAAAATCTTGGATCCTTGATAGTGAAAGCTATTCATCCCAAATTCAAGGTGAACTTTAGGTACTTTCACTGATAAACCATTGTTCCTTGTGTTCTTAGAGTGAGGTGATCTTTCAAGGTGGGTCTTAAAGGTGGTGCAAACATTATTTTGAAGACAGTCGAAAACAAACTGACTGCTTTTGTGCTTAATTAAGTTCTCTGCCGATGGTAGTTTTAGATTGCTGNAGTTGTGTTTTTGTCTGGCACTATCAAGATCTTTTGCTGTTCTATCCACGGTATATTTCAGAGTGTCAAGCTGGCAAAAAAGAGTTATCAATTAACACATTACCTTTAAATACCCTCTGAAATTTATCAAAATTATGATTTGGGTGTGCAAACAATCTGGAAACAGTTTCAGATACCAATCAAGAAAAAATATTTCTTTTCACAGTGAAATGTAAGATGCAATGAATTCTTCATGGCCCTTTACTGCTGAGGATTAAGGCATGATTACACAGCTTTGTAGAATCAATAAAGTAAACAGAGTCCCAAAGTTCAAAACCAGGTAAATTAAAGTTAAATTATAATAAAAAATAATCAGAAAGCCACCTGCCAACATTTAACCTTCTGTTCTACCATGAACAAGCTCTATGCACACAGAATAGTGTTCATTATATTTACCTCATCTTGGAATTGAATACGGATCTGTTCAGCATCCTGGTACTCCAGTCTCATTTTAGCAGCCTGTCTTTCAGCAACCCCAACTTTCTTCTCCTTTTCTTGATTGTTTGCAAGCTCACTCTCCAGAAATTTCTAAATGTTTTATGAAGCAAAACACAAAAAATAATGTAACTTTTTGTGTACAAGCAACGTAAGAGGTATGTTAAAGGAAAAAGAAAAATGCTACAACTGGAAGAGTGAGTCTGAGATCGAAAGCAACCAAAGGGATTTTCAGGTCACCAGTTGTAAAAATAATAATTAATAATAATAACAACAAATATTTAAAGAGGATGACCCATCAGTGTATTTAACACTGTTATCAGAGGGGTCGTATAAACGAAACTATTGTAAAAATAAGGAAAAAATGGGTAAAAAAGACATACCAAATTAGGAAAAACTTTAATCTTGAAGTTATGGATCTAAATTCAATTGGTAGTTCATTGAAAATCTTGGCTCCTTGATAGTGAAAGCTATTCTTCCCAAATTCAAGGCGAACTTTAGGTACTTTCACTGATAAACCATTGTTCCTTGTGTTCTCAGAGTAAGGTGATCTTTCAAGGTGGGTCTTAAAGGTGGTGCAAACATTATTTTGAAAACAGTCGAAAACAAACTGACTGCTTTTGTGCTTAATTAAGTTCTCTGCCGATGGTAGTTTTAGATTGCTGTTATCAATAATTTTCCAACTTTTTTGTTTAATGTTCTTGTAAATATACAGGTCTGCAAGAGCCTGAAAATCACACAAAAGACATTTTAAGTCAACTTTTTCACGTTTGGCAGGCAAAATCACCTGTTTCTCTTGAACTTGATCTTCTCTGTCTCTGACCTCCAGTTTTACCTCAGCAAGTTTCTAAGGTAAACAAGAAGATAAGCTGTCACACATTTAGTCACAGATATCACAAAGCAATGAGTTTCTTTGCAAAGCAACAGAACAGAGCAAGTAATTAGAGGGTGAAGCAGCACTTACCACAGCCAGCTGGTCCATCTCTCTGTCCCTTTTCTGCATTTGTTCAATAGTATTCTCCCACTGCCGCAGTAACTCTTGTCTCTCACTGTGTGCCTTGCGGAACTCTTCAGCTGTCTTGTCTAGTTCAATCTAAAGATTGAAGAAAGTTATTACAAGGATAGTTAAGCCAAGTCATTAGAGTGAAACT